ACAAAGAGTGCATCATCATCAGCCTCGTTCGTTCAAATGAAACCGGTCATGTCAGTGTTATTTTTTTGATTTTCTCCTCTCATTATTGACGTCGTATATTTCTCCAATTCTCCAGATTGGTGACCTCGTCAAGGATTGGCGGAGGATGAACGTCTCTTTCACGCGTGCGAGGAGTAAATTGGTCATCTTCGGATCGAGGAAGAGCTTACAGGGTGAACCGTTGCTAGCGCAATTCTTCGACCTTATGCAGGGGCAGGGATGGATCCTCCCATTGCCAGCTCAGGCGCACATCGCACACGCAGGTATCTTTGATGTGTGCTCGACGCCTTTGAAGAGGGGCCCCGATGCAGACGCCTCGGTTTTCTCAAGAACCGTAGGGGAGGGCGAAGACGATGTCGATGACGATGCGTCCCCACGAAAGTTGAGGGGCAAGGAGAATGTGGTCGGGGTGGAAACGCTCAGGCCGACGAAGAAGTTGAAAGTTGCTCCGGCGACTACTGGTAGTGGGAAAGTGATGAGTGTGAGTGCGGTCGCTGGAGTGGTGAGAGGGAGACCCATTTTACAGGACTTGCTGGGGAATGAGATTTGAAGCGTATACCGGGGCGGGCGGCGGGCGGCCTGGCAATTCGCCTACGACGGTTTAAACACTTTTCCATTTGTATTAATATCATTTGCTCACAATATGTACAATATCATTCGTCACTTCCCCAATACCGAACTTCTAGCAAGTTCCCAAAGGCTGAGGGCATTGTCGGATAATAATAACCCCAGTAGCACAACCTTGATTCGTCTCCAGAAATTGGCTATGGAGCCTCCTTTTCCGCCTTAAAAAAAAAACCATTGCCGTGTCGGACGTGAGCCTAGATAGTGCGGCCGTTTGAAGATTATATTGCAAGACGCAATGAACTGGGAATGTCTGGTCGATCAACGATGCTATCTATCTCCTTCCCCCAAACTCCATGTCCAAATTTCGCTTGACTCCCTTAGCAATCCCTTAGCAGCTATGACAACTGCGATCTTTTTGTTTCTCATCAGCCTTTCCTGAGCCTGTTGACGGAGTTCTCTCGTAAATCCTAGGCTTGGGCGTGTACTCGAAGAAAAACCGGCAGACGCCTATATTCTGACTTCGGCGTTTTGCGTTTGCCAAGTTCCAACCAGTGCTTCTTGTGCTGCAACTTCAACTCTAATCTTCTTTGCTGGAAGCGAGATGAGAACGAACGAGACGACAGGTGATCAGTTTAATCTTCTAATACTTGATGGGCGCTACCATGGGAGATCTGTCATCCGGACCATCAGCAGTTGTCTCCAAGAGACTAGACCCGTAGGCTACCAGTTCGTCGCTGGTCGACTTGTTCATCTTTAAGAAGCCCCACTCGACCTATACCTTGATAGTTCTCTGACGGTGAATGACATTACTTATACCAATTGATTCGGTTGAATCGAGTAAATTTAATTATAAAGACGAGAGGTCTGAGCGTCTAGCTCCCCCTCCTAATCCCCTTCCCAAAACTGGTCCCCTTCCTTGTAAATGGTGAACATTCCTGATGACATTGAGGGATTCCTCAAAGTCCAGTTCTTGGGGACCATTTTCTCAGCGATGATATATGGAATGGTGATTATCCTCTGTGGAAATTGCTTTCGTCTACTCCGGAAAAAACGGGGCATCTATTCAAATCGCATGCGGATTCTTCTCCTCATATATGTTATATTCATGCTACTCCTCAGCACCTGGTCGCAAATCCAATCGACTTTTAAAAACTTTGTGTCCATATTCCCACCACAGAAGACAACATGGCAATTCGAATTCAGGAATTTTCCAATCGCATATGTTTTCACCATTTGGGGAGCAGATGGGTTCATGGCGAGCATTGTAATTCTTCGCCAGAAACACAGGTTTACAATGAAATTTACAGATCTGGCGTTGTGCCGTCCTGTATCAGGACATGTTTAAAAGGCCCAGGCTTGTGGTGATTGTCCTCCTTTCCCTCATTTCATTCGCTTCCTGTGGTAGGTTATCTTTATATTTCCATTCCTCCCCTGTACCTTTCAAATTTCTCATAAAAACATTCAGTATTCGGTATCGCGACGTTGGTTAACGGCGTGATCTGGGTTCCCCAGCTTTATTACACCTACATGGTCTTCAATACATTCTCCGCTCTCGTCAATATCATACTCAGTATTGATCGTCTTACGACTCCTTTACCATCAAATACACCTCCGAAATGCTCTTGGAGCTGCACATGGATCTTCCTACACTAACATTATCACCATGTGCGTCGAATCTTCGTCACTGATGGTCATTGCCTGTGGCTTGTACACCGTTCTGGTTTTCCGGGATCGGATGAATGTGAGAGCTTTTTTTTTCCCCGTCATCCCTCATATTTGCGTAGGTGGCTTAGTACTCGACGATATGTGATGCACGATTAAGATTTGATACTCCTAGGTTATCTCCCCGCTCCTCATCGTCTATCGTGTTGCTATAGGTCATACCATACCCTCAACTTTAGTCCCATCGGTGCAAGACATATCCCAGATTAGATTCAACGTTCCATTTCCAAGCCCCCCATTCGGTCAAGAAGGAGAGGCGTGATATGCAATATGCATCACAATGGGCGCCTCGCCTAGAGGAGAGGAGAGACGCATCAAGCCAAACCCGTCTACATGCTGTACACAGCACTACAATAATCATCCACTTTACTCACGAGCACGACGACAATATTAAAATTTAATATGCGGTATCGCAGCAGTAGTCGAAGGTGTGACGCTGGTCCGCGCGCTTAATTACGCCTACGAGGCGCTCGTTTCATTCTCCGCTCTCGAGCGCCCATATCATACTCGCAGCATTGATCCTTTTACAACCCGTTTCCGATGATTTATGTAAGGCACGTCCGAAATGCCCTTGAAGCTGAACATGGATCTCCGGGGATGTACATCGGGATTTCGGATGCAGGTTATAAGTAGGACTAGGCTCGGACTATTGCCCCCGATATTCATCCACAGTCGTCCACTGAGGACGAGATATTCGTTGGGGTATGGACGTTGGTTTAGTTCGAGGAAACATATTCACAGGGCCCATGTTTGAGTTTACCGATGCAGATCCTGGGATGACACGTCAGAACCGCGATAGCAGATATCAAAGCGCTGGTTGTTGTGGCCCTTACCTTTATCGCAATTTTGGTTCCCAGTTAATTTATAATCCACAAAATAGCTGTCTGATGGTTTTGGACCCAGGTCGACCGTCGAAGCGTGCTGATTCGCCACATCCATCGTTTACGTTGATCACTCCCATCATAACTGCTGCCATGGCTATTGCAATTGAGGAGCCAGACATATCCAAGTGCGTAACTATTTAAGACCTTCGCCCATCTTATGTACTATACCCCTTCCCCTTCAAGTTGATCAGCAGTGCTGATCCCGTCGTTTCAAAATGCGCCAAATCATTTCAGCTCGTCAAGACTCTGCAGTCCTCGAGCTCTACATGTTAGGAGCTTTTATTTCAGCGGTTGTCTATGGGATCGTGATCATCGTCTCTGGAAACTGCATTGTTCTCATCCAGAAGAAACCGGCCATCTATCCCATTCGCATGCGGCGTTTCTTGGCCATCTACGTGACAGTCATGCTCCTCCTCAGCACTGAGGCGGTAATCCAATCGATTTGGTTACTCGATTCCTCAATATTCGGGGGAGAGGTACTCCCTTTCATCGCGATTTCTCCACCCGCGATTCCGCTGACCATCTGGGGCGCGGATGGAATCATGGTGAGCATTATTCTCCTGCATCGAATATTTTCCATCATCGTTGCAACGATATATCAGATATGGCGTTGTGTCGTCTTGTATAAGGATGTAGCCAGGCGCCCCAGGACTCTTGTTTTTGTCCTTCTTTCATTCCTTTCAATCATTTCGTTAAGTAGGTCATTTACTCTTCCCGATCATTCCTTTTGCTCAAGAAACACAAGTATGCGGCGTGATGATGTTCCTCCATTACCCCCACCAGCCGCTCATAATATTTTCAACTGTCGTCAACATCATACTCGCCTTGCTGATTATTTTGCGCCTCGTTCGCGATCAACGTTATATTCGGAAGGTCCTTGAAGCGGACCATGGATCCCTGTACTCCCAAGTGATCGGCATGTGGCTCGAATCCTCAGCAGTGTTATCTAAGGTGATCACCATGTGTGTCGAATCTTCAGCATTGATCATCATTTTTGGTGGCCTATGCATTCTCCTAGGCTTCCTGGATGCGAACGCATTGTTCATCCCCCTCCTACTTTTCCCTCATATTTGTGTAGGTGGCTGAAGTCTGTGATATGTCGTGCAGGTCCAACCTTTTTATACAGGTTATCTCACCCCTCCTCATTGTCTATCGCGTTGCTACAGGCCGTGCCATGACAACAACAACTCTACAACCATCGGATAAGGAAACGGCCCTAGATTCGGTTTAATAGTGCACCTGTTGACAACGTTGTTGAACCTACTTCAAGCGCTTCCAGCCAAGGAGGAGAAGGAATACAGATTTTTCCCTTGATTCCCACTCTTCGGAAATCTGAGTGTTCTAGGCTCTCAACTCGGTTCTTATCAAATTGACGCACTATCCGCCTTCGAGTCGACATATCGACCTCACGCAAGTTTTCAGCCCGATGGGATTCATGCGCCGGCATCCCCATCGGCGCCTCGCCCAGGCGTCCTCATCAAGCCAACCAGCCTTCATGCCCTACGTACATACATACTACTACGATAATTTGTACTCACTTTTAAGATATATGTATAACTTGGGAAATTGATCGTGTGGTGAGCCCCCGCCAGGCGGACTGCGTCCGTACCTACCTCGACCGCTGGTGAATTTCTTTCTGATTCTCGGTATTTCTCCCAAGTATATAAGCCACGAACACAGGCTGCCGTTGTTGAGAAACTTGAAGTGTGCAAGATGATCGATTATCAACGAGCACTTGAGCGCTTAATCTTAATTCCATGAATACGTACTACACGTCCTCGTCATATCTCTTTGTTAGTATATCGGTTAGTACACGCGCCTGTCATAGCAAAAAAATTGAATGCATATAGTGACCGCGCGAAAGCTGGGTTCGATTCCCAGACAGAGAGTTTGAAAACTTTTTTTTTCTCGGTGTGTTGTTTTCCACAAGTTTTCCACGTAACCTAGGACGCCCGCTCAAATCAGTATGGAGCGTCTTTTGTAAAAAAAAAGATGGATTGGGGGTTCGGGGAGTCAATCGCGAGGCGTTTAACCCGGGGGCTTCTCGACTATGTACCTTTTTAAGTACCGAGAGAACGATCAGGCTCGAATGCGCACCAGAAATCGACATTGTATCTCGTTGTTAGTATATCGGTTAGTACACGCGCCTGTCATCTCATACTTTCGACACAATGGCCGCGCGAAAGCTGGGTTCCACTCCCAGACAGAGAGCTTTGCCGATTTCATGCACATTTTTCTTTCTTTTCTTCTTTTCCTTTCCTTCGTGTTAACGTTGCATTTTTCCCTTCATCCCCCACCTCCCCCAAAAAAGGAAAAAAAAAAAACTGGTATGTAAGACATAGCCTTCATCAAGAAAATAACATGCATAGTACTAGCCAGTAGCTTGCGATGATTTTCTTGGGGTGTGCCAGAGTGAGAAGATATGCACCCGGATTAGAAAATTCGCTCCCGCTTACATAGGCCATTTGTTTCCGTTCATCGATCGTCGATCATGATGACGACACACTAGCTATTGTCGCATGTACTTAGTGCTCAACTCCCCCAGATGCGCACCATGATCTTGGCATCACATCTCTCTGTTAGTATATCGGTTAGTACACGCGCCTGTCATTACTGGGATTTGATTCGCGCGAAAGCTGGGTTCGACTCCCAGACAGAGAGCTATACCGCCACGCAAGGTTCTTTTTATTTACATAAGCTCGTTTGCGCCCAGAATCGGATGACTTGAAAATAATATGTATGTACTGTACATGTACTTAGTGGGGAAGCCTGTTGTTTTGGGATGGTAGGGATTTAAATTTCTTATTAGTTATACATACGTAGGATCTCCTTACGAGAGCGGAGATTTGTTTGGATAGGTACGAACAGAGGTTAGAGTTATAATATTGAAAGCCTGGAAGCGTTGTTGACGAAAATTGAGGGGTTTGCAAGGGCGAAGCAGGAGGTACGTCGCTGCTGCGAATATGTAGAAGGGGAGTCTATCCAAGGGGCCGGAGTACATCGACAGCATGCGGCAATTTGGGTAAATGACAACGACGAGAACGCCCTAGGACGAGCTGACTGAGCTGAGGATCCTCAATAGCAAACGAGTTTTGGATCTTGGGCGTCAGCGATTTTTTCCTCTAATTTGGGTGGTTTCGACGGGGCTCTGGGAATGGTGCTATCGAGTTACCTTTTGATTGACGAGATTCGGGGCCCGCCGGACTCCCTGCTTGTCACTAGGAAAGAAGTTGGTTCTCGGAGTATGCGACTATGGTGTGATTGGTGTGTGTTCGGGAGGGAGTTGGTATGTGAGCTGGGGGTTCGTATGAACGGGTTTCAGGAGAAGAGTGGCTTGTTTATTTATGGGAGTAAGCGTCGGTTTCGACATTGGATATGGTCAATGGACTATGATACAAATGGACTGTGATATAGAATGCGGTTCACTGGGATTACAAGATCAGCGTATCGTTGAGAGAATGAAACGAAAGAACGAACCAACGAAGGAATCAGGTACCTTTGCGATCACCGTCGTTTTGGAGTGCGCGGGAGCTGGGTATATTATCTGTCCGGTTGAGGCACCCCGAATGGGCTCTCCATTCCGTGTAGATGCCGTTGACATACAATTTTTTTTCAGAGTCGCAAGTGCCGAGCGATGGGTCCAGCTTTTGGAGTCATAACACAGGAAGATGAGGTTCAGAGACTGAACGATATACACATTTCATAGAAGAGGGTTCTCCTATGGATGTGGATGAATGTTACATTTTTCGAGGACGAGAGATGTAGACGACAGAGCGATCCCTGTTTCTGAATAATCCGACTGGGCCGAGGCGCATACCGGGATTCAGCATTAAAGGTATTTTGGTCGTAGAAGGTACGGCGAGGGCTTTCTGGACTTCGATTTATGTGAAGTGGGTTGCGTGCCGGGGATGTGTAGCAAGCGGGAAGTGTTCGTGTTGAAGAGTTCTCGCGGAGGTTAGGCACCAACCCCTCGTCCATGGTCGGACCAACTAGTTTCCCAGTAGACCATGGCATACACCTCGCGGTCGTGTCAAGCAGTATCTGTATGTACCTGAAATAATTTCGAGTCGAGTGAGCACTTATCACGGCCGGTAGTGTGTTTTCCCGGGGGGTATAAATAAAATTGACAGCCAGATATAGATTTGGCAGCCGGTAATGGAGGACAAGTATAACCACAGGCCAGTAGTGACCGGTGGCTCGGCTTCGGGGAACGGCTTCCTGGAGAGAAGATAACAGGGGAAACATTGGGTAGAACTTGTTAAATCACTCACCTAGGTCTATATACCTCGCGTTATCGCAGCTACGCGTGAGATGATAGCAATGATGATGAGCGGATTACAGATAAATGGTACGGACGGAACCATGCATATGTATGACTCTGAGTGACATAGAGCGTGGGTTGTTGCCAGGATGACGCGATTTCGGAATCATGCACGGCAGAGCGACGGCATCCTTAGGTTTTCTTCCAGTTGGGTTCCTCCCAGGGGGGATGAATTGGAAATATTATCTTCGGGTGGATCGATTAGCGGTGGGGAAAAGTCATTACAAAGCAGGATCTGGGCAGTGAGGAGGCAAGGGTCGTAAATTACTCTAGGGTCAAAGCAAGGCAGTTAATCGGTAGATTCAATATTTGGGAATTCAAGCCATAGCGACTGAGAGGAAGAGATGGCCAAAGCGCCATACAGAGGAGGCCAGATAAGGAAAGCAAGGTTCATTAGGAGAGCGGAAACAATGAGCCCGGAAAAGTTTAGCTAAGCCGTGCTGTGGCAAGTGGCCAAACTTTTTCTTTTTCGTTTCTTTCTTGTTCTTTCGTTTATCATGCATCCTCTCTGACTTCCAAGCAAATACAACGCACTCTACTCTGTATTTCATTCCAGGAAGCGCCCAAACGACGAGCGCTTGTATAATTCACTCATAACCCCACAACGACCCCCCTCTGTGCATCGTACGCATGGCAGCTGTGGATACCGACACTGTGTCGATGAGCTCGCCGCCTCCTGTGAGGCCTCCACCTCTTACTGTAAGTCATCCTTTGCATTTCGCTCCCGTGTTGCAACCCCTTGTGCTTCATTTCGCACAAACCTGCCTCTTTGCGTGCTCCTTCCTTGCGTAATTAGGAATTTCCCTCGCGGGCTTTCGTTCCCATGGTGTTCCCTGTTCCGAATTTCCGTTCTCTTCTACCCAAGCAATGGACTTGCGGACTTGCACAGCATAGCAAGGCACAGCATCTTCGTTTTCCACCTATTCCATTCCACAACATCATAATTCTACCCTTGCTAACAACATCTTCCACTATAGCAATCCGATGCAATCACCAGTCTTCTCTCACTGAGCATCGCCGCTGCAGACGGCGCTGCCCTTCCCATCCCACCAGAGCATCCACCGCCTGGTTCTGGTGTGGCGCAGTCGTTAGGCGCAGCCAGCTCGATGTTGGCGCCTTCGACGATGAATGCGGTGTCGACTAGTGCTGGTGTTGGCGCGGCGGCGTCTTCGGTGGGAAAGCATCATCGTAGGCTTGGGTCGATGAAGACGAAGAGGAGGCTTAGTGATGCGAGGGAGGCGTCTGTGCGTCCGATGTACGTTTTCTCCTTTTTTTCTTTATTTCCCTGCCTCTCCTTTTTCTTTATTTCTGTCCTGTTCCATGATTTTGTTTCTTTTTGGCTCTGGTGCCTTCCCTTGTTCGTTTGCGCCCACTCTCGTTTAAAGTCCTAGAACCCTACCCGCTCCTCGCTTTCTCGCTCGCTTTCTCATTCTTTTCTTTCTTTCCCTCCCTCTTTTTTTTCTCCGTCGTATGTTCATTGCCTTTCTGTTCGTGTTCCTTGTCTTTGTTTCTTTTTGGCTTTGGTCCCTTGTTCCCCGTCGCTGGCCGTCTTTCTTCGTTCATAATTCAATGTCTTGCTGTTCTACCCTTCATCTCTCTTGTCCTTCATGCTTGACATTGTTTCCACCTCTCGGCCAATAATGTTTGGCTTTTTCGACATTCATTTGGTTTCGAATCATTCATTCTGTCCGATTTCTTGCCTTGTTACCAAATCCGCCATGATTTGCTGACTTACAATCAATCAATAAAAAATGATCTCACACACGCACGTTTCCACGTTTAACCTTTTTATCTTTATACCTCTATCTTATCTTCGTTTTTCGCTGATCATCGCATTTTCCTTTATACAGACTTGGTACGACGCCAACGTCGAGCGCTGCACTTTCCCTTGCTGCGCTATCTTTGTCGACTTCGGCATCCGCAGCATCTGCCGTTACTGCTTCATCCCCGCCACAGGCACACCAACATTCGAATTCGCTCGGGCATGCGTATCCCATTGGGTATGGGCAACACGGACATTCGCATGGGGGGTACACCACTTTAGCGCCGAGACCTGTTATGGGAAATGGGAATGGGAATAACATAGCTATCATATCTGGATCGGCGCCTACGTCTACTTCTTCTACCTCGATCTCGATCTCGAGGGTGGATTCTTCCCGCTCGGGACGGTCAGGTGGGTCTTCGGGCTCTGGTGGTTCTGAAGAGGAGGGCAAAGGGGGAGAGAACGTTACGATTCCGATTGCGATTGGGGGTGCTTCTGGTGGTGGAGGAGGAGGAGGAGGAGGAAGGACGAAGAAGAGGGGGGTTGAGTATAAATGCGAGAGTTGTAATAAGGTGGGTTTTTATTTTTATTACCTTCCGACGACCACATCCTAACTCCTGTTCCCAGATCTACCGCCACCCAAACTGCCTCAACAAACACAGATGGGAACACACTCGACAATGGCGCGAAGCATCCAAATTCGTGCTGTCCAAACACCAACAAGTCCAGTTGTTGGAAGCTGCTGCGATCCTGTCCTTCATGGGGAAAGATCCGACTTCCCTGCCGGAGGATCGGAGTGAGTGGCCGACGTTTTTGAGTGGGGGGAAGTTGCCGAAGGTTGGGGAGCCCGAGGTGGAGGGGGGTTTCCTGGAAGGAGAGCATGATCACTATTTATCGAGGACGACGACGACAACGAACAAGAAGACGTACCCGCTCCAGGCTATTTCTTCTTCTGTGCCCAACACCTCTGGACCGAGGATGCATGACTATGCTATCCGAAGTGGGGTAGGCGGTCAGGGTGGACAGGCTGTGCAGCTAGGTCCGGGGTTGTTGGGAGTCAGGACTCCTTCCGCCAGCGCCGGTGTTGCTGCTGGGGCGCATGCGGTTATTCCTACGAACATGGGAGGGCCTGTAACTGCGAACCTTGGGATCGGAGGAGCGGTTTCGGCTTCCATGCCGGTATCGCGTTCGTTGTCCTACTCGAGGAGGTCGGATAGCAAGAGTACGGCGAGCACGACGAGTAGTGGGAGTGCGAGTGAGGATGTGGACGTGGATGTTGACTCTATTGATATCGATATCGATGTTGATGATGTTGATATTGATATCGACGGAGACGAGGACGAAGAAGATGGAAAGTACCAGGGAGTTGGAGGTCGGCTCCGGGTTCCCGGTCGACGTGGACGGGGACGTGATGGCGCCAATTCCAATAACAGCAACGTCGCCCTCCATAACAACCCCAACATATATTCCGCGTCCGCATCTGCACCTGGTTACGGATCTGGCTATTACGGCTATGGATACGCACCGCCCGGTTCATCGTATTCGAGTACGGGGAGTGTGGGCTATAGCCCGGGATAT